AAACTGCGCATTAAAATCTTCTTGCGCAGATTCTAATTTCCAAACTTTTTCGTGTTTACATTCACTCCACCTCGAAACAGCGCCATCTATTTTCACACTCTTCACCAGTCTAAAGTTCAACACTTCCCCCCCCCTCCACCATGTGAACTCTTAAGTTCACAAAACCGAATACATAATAAACCAATATTACTCGTACTAAACCAACCACAGAATTTTCAATACTATTTTTACAACATCAAATTGTAAATAACAATCAAGTGATGTTTAAACACATTAAATCAACTTATAAAGTTGATTGCTAAATATGGCATATGAATCACATATACCGAAATCAAAATTAACGATACTCATGCAACCTAAAAAAATCGCATTTAACAATAATCAATAAAGATACCTATAAAATGTGATGTATGTAACACAACAAAGTCACATTATTACACAGTTGCTTTACTGATAATTATATACTTCAAGTTTGTACAGCAAATGCACTGATCTCTTTAAGTTATATGTTAGAGTGTTCATGAGACAAAACAGAATCTGACCATCTCTGCGAAGATAAGTTTTTATTATCTTACCTTATATGGTATTTCTCCCGCCTTTCTAGCGTGCCTTCGTGGTGAAGTGGTTCTGCCCGCTGGGCCGGTATTCCAGAGGACCGTGGTTCGATTCCCGGCGAAGGCATTGCTAATTTTTCGTCTGGCCTGCTTCCAAAAATTACCTAATGTCTCTACAACCTGTTGTCCACGAATTCCTAGGGAAGCCATGGCCACGTATAAAAACAGTATCATCAACTTTAAACTGACCAGACACTTTATGAAGAGAAAGTAAACGTTTACCAATAAAGAAATTGGCAGAACTTGGTGGTGAGGCTCTGAAGGGTCATCGTTGATGTATGTTATTCGCCTTGAATTGTTTACAGATTTTCCATTCCAATGATAAATGTTTCTACCTCATTCAAAGAGAGACTAAGTTCAGTTTTGGTTCAGTTTAATGTAAATGAAATGTTAATAGAGCAAGGATAAATGAGATATATTAAGGTTATGTTCTAATTGTTAATTATGATGAAATTTTTCAAAAAAATTTTATAACTTTATTTTAAAGTTTGTCTGCATTTACATGATACCTATTTTTTGAGAAACTTAATTTTTTTTTTTTTTTTCAAGTTTTCTGTTACAAAACAAATGTAAACATAAAATATTACAATACTAATTTCATGAAACTTTCCGCAGATATTCTATGAAATACTTTTTCTGATCACAAAACATTTTGATAGGAAAAATCTGTTTGAATTAGAAAATGTATTAAAAATGTATTTGGCTTATTATAGTTGATAGCTGCATACCGCAGACAAATTTTTATCGGTTACATAATTCTCATAAATATTAATCTGTTACAACAAATAATAATTTTATTACTAAAACTCCCTTGCAATTAAATCTCTCTCTCAGTAATATGAAATTAATTAATTGAATATATACCATGTGTCTATTTTAATCTACTTATGATTCTCATTTAAAAAAAAATTAATTTATTTATAGAAAATTTACAGTTTTTAAGAAACTATTAGGTCATTAATTACTGAAATAAATAACCGCCGAAGAACTCTCCCACTGTGTTCAGTTTTTCTGTTGCTTAAAAGTAGTTCTACTGCTAGTAGTTCTAGAATTGATTACCAGTGGCGACTTGTAATAAGCACTGTGGAACTGCAGCACCTCCTATTTCCCGTTATTATTATTTTTAATATTTAATACCCTTTAGTCTTTAATTCTTTCTTTATACTTTTACTTTTTTTCTTTATACTTTATACATAATCCTTAAGCTTAATGTTAGTAGCCATACCCCACTTTGTGAGAAACGTACGAAAGTCTTTGGAACTGCGCGCTTCACAGTTCGAGCGACGTAGTGTTTGGCTGTTCTGCGCATGCGTACACAGAAAGCAGCACGCGAATCAGGCAGAGAGAATACCACTGTCGCTCTTGCAGTGCCGAAATTCTGGCATGTTGTTGGAAACGTGATTTCTTTTTACTCCACGCGTGTGGTATTTCTCCACAAGGAGGAACTTCATCATACGGACCATAAACAGAGTTCATGAAAATTTGCAACCTTTAAAAAATTGCCTTACTGAAATTCAATCAACATCAAATGCAAAACAACAACAAATGAAACAATTGTTCCTATTGCAAAAGCAACAGGAATTTTAAAATATCTGAATGGTGCTAATTTCAAGTTTTGGTTAGAGCTTTTTTTATCAGATGCCTCATGTTGAAATAATATACAACTAAATGCAATCCAGAGAAATTAATGTGTTTAAAGTTAACGAATATATAACAAATTTCAAAACTGCTATTTTAGAATTAAGAATTTCAAAGTACTGTGAGAATTTCTGAAAGACACTGATGGCAGAAGCTAAGGAAATATGTGACTTTATAATTATGTATTGATATGATGCACAGATATTCTTCCACTAAACACTTAGCAGCTGCTAAATTGTTAAACAAGAAATGTTTCGCTAGTTTTAGGAATGAGCATTCTACAGAAGAAATAGTACTGACCACTGAAGCATATCCAATAATTGACGACAAAAAAAAAAAAAAAAAAAAAAAAGCTTGAAACTGAGCTAAAAGTATTCTGTTGTAGGTCTGATATCCATGAATACTGAAAATTAATTGAGCTAATGAAATCTTCGAAAATAATCTAGATGATGTTCTTAGTGAAATTACGAAGCTGATAAAAATTCTCTTGAGAGTTCTCATGACTACATCAGAGGCAAAACGCTGCTTTTCAACATTGAAAGGAATGAAAACTTTTCTAAGAAGCACTAGGAATTCGGAAAGACTAAATGCGCTTGCATGGCTTTCAATAAAGAAAAATTTCCTCAGTTGTCATCCAGAGATCAAGGAGAAAATTACTGATCTTTTCGTGCAAATTAAAACAAGAAGAATGGATTTCATTTTTAAATGAATAGACAAACACTGAACTGTAACAATTTTGGTTAAGTTAATTAAGAAATGTTTAATTTTTTTCTTGTAAGATTTCATGAAGTTTCAAAATAAATTTTATTTTTATAAATGTTTCTTTCCTTTTAGACAATTTTAAAACAAAGGTTAAATTTTTTTGAAACAGCACACCCAGCCGCCACTGTTGATTACTGCCGATTTTATCATTTTAAAAAGAGAGAGATAAAAAATTTTAAATTAGTAGATTTTTTACTATTTAGCTTTCTATACGTCTAATTTTAAGAAATTGAAAGAAATCTAAACTTTTATATGTATATAAATATTTTAAGCAGCGAAACAGGATATTCTACGGAAGCCCATCGTTAACAGCTCATTCAGTATGGTGTCGCCATCTAGTGATAGATTGTGTATACATTTAATCCGTACTTATCATTTTTTTGTTATCTGCTGTTGTTCAAGAAGTCTTTTAAACGTATAGATTTCTACGGTATAATTTACAGTTCTAAAATGTGAATAATTTCAGAGTATTTTCTATATAATATTATGCAGCAAATATGATTAAAAGTATGGATAGAAATGTTGTATGTAAATTAATATGTTACGAAAAACAGTCCTGTAACGTTTTCCGTATCACACACCAATACTTTCATGACTTGCAAGAAACCATCCGATAGGGGTGAAAAACATCGAATCTATGCTCTTTAAAATACAGTTATGCTTAAAATAATAGTAGAATGCCTAAGTCACTATAAGTATTTAAAAATTGTAAAGTTGTCATCCAGAGATCAAAGTGAAAGCTAAACTTTTCGTATGCATGTGTATGTTTCGTAAGCTTTTACTTCTGCATATTATAAAACACAATGAAGATAAATAATATATTTTATAGTCGAGAATGATATAATAAGCAAACGTCTTTAATATAAACATCTTTTTCTTGGTTAAACTATGTAAATATTTGCAAAAATTATCATTTTTAGATGCATTATAAAATTGTAACACATATTAAGAAAAAATAAGAAATAAGTAACATGCTTTTATCATTTAAGACATAAAGACATGGAGAAAAGTCCCATAAAATGCACTTGAGGACAGGGGCGTAGCTAGAGGGGGGCATCTGTCCCCCGGCGCAGAATCCAAGGGGCGCCAAACTGATGTTACGACATTTTAGAATTAAATGTTTTCCATTCTTGGCAAGCAGTAGGGGGCGCGAAATCTTCTGTTGTCCCTGGGCGCTGAAAACCCTAGCTACGACTCTGCTTGAGGATAACCATGCTATTTAGCTGGTAATTCCGCAGTATTCTCAAGAGTTGTATCAGTTAACAAACTAATTAAATTCTGCCTTTGATCATCACAAAATTTAGTCATGAAGATTTAATCCTATATTTCTTCGATTCTAAGGCGCATATGCTTTTAAGAACAGATGATTTTTCTAAATGATAAAATTTTCGTTAATAATCGAAATCAATTACTGAGCATTTAATTTCATTATATTATTTCTATTTATCGCTATATATATATATATATTATTATTTTTTCTTTTTCTTTCTTTTTTTTTTAAGTAATATCACTTCTTATTTCTGAAAGAAACCTAAAAGCAGACGATCGGTTTTATTTTGTTAGTATTCAATAATTGGTTCAGGAATGGGTGCAAAAAGTACACCGCCCGAACAGGGACTCGAACCCTGGACCGTTAGGTTAAAAGCCTAACGCTCTACCGACTGAGCTATCCGGGCTCTGGAATCGGTCTTCAAATACTAATTCAAATAATAAGTTAATTTAAATGTTTGTATTTTCTTTATTTATTTAATTTCTATTAAATTTCTAGGCGATATTTCTCAGTTCTAGGATCTAAATTTAAATGGTTACTTAAATTGCAACAGCGTTGAAGTTTTGAAAGCGGAAATGATGCAATGTTCATTAAGCATCCGGTTAAGTGGTGTTCCGTAAAGTCAGTTTTAATCTATATTGCATCTCCTGATTGTCTTTTTATAATCCAGAGATGGTATATGGTAATCTAAGCAAGCAATAAATGTGAGTGCAATTTCATGGTTGGTTTCATTGATATTATTTTTCAACTTTGCTAATTATGTGTTAAAATTTAAGTGTCGAGAAACTGTTCGATTAATAAGATGTGTATTTCCTTTTTCTATATATCAAATTGGCTTTGATTGGATACGTACTACCTATAAGCCGCAGGTAATCGCACTCGTTATCTGCTAGAGATTAAAATATTGTGAAAATAATGAACTTTTGGACTTCCGCTGCAGAAAAAAGTGTTCTGCTTTTCCATAAAGGAGTTAAAGTTGTTCGAAATGTGCTGTTAGATTTGACGTAAAGCAAAACATGGATTATTTGTCATATCTATGTAGTACTGAAAAGTTAATGCATGATTTCATTAACTAATTTGGATAATTGTTTCGATCGAAAATAACAAGTAATATTTTAAAATGCTTATTTGAAGATTTGATTTGTTGTATTATTTAACATATTTATTTTGTTGTATATGTTGTAATATAAACAAAGTAAGTTTACTTTTGTTTAGAAAGCAAATATTGAAATGTAATCAAATTTGAGTAAGGCAATATGACGACCAAATTGTAATATAATACAGTGGCTCACCTTTTTTTTCAGACATTTGTTTTTTCAGTTTTATTTGTAAATGTTAGTGAAATGACTTTGCTTTTCATACCGTTGGTGATCTTTTTTAAGAGCTGCTTGTTTTTGAAAAGTTATTAGAAACATTTTTGTGATAATGATAGTGTATCCAGAAAATTCTGAATATGAACTCGCATAAGTATGACACTTTGAACTAACAATTTATATTTAATAAAAGCATGCAGTTATCAAACAGACTTAACTTTTTTTTGCAGTCCACCCTTCTAAATCTGCTGCAAAATTTACAGTGTTAATTTTTCAGAGACTAAATCTCCATTTTTTTCATGTTAGCTTTTAAATTGTGGTCTAGGCTCCAGTGTGTTTTAAACATTTTACTCAATTTCTGTCATTTTAATACACTAAAGCTAGTTAAATGCATTACATCAATGCAATTTCTTTCTTTTAAATATTTTAATAACTTTATCATTTTAAAAATCACAAATTGTTAAATTTCAATATTTTCAATTTGTAGCAGCTTGTCATGTTCACTTTGAATATGGGACGGGTTTTCATCCGCAGAGAACCCGTTGGCGCCGTTCCATTTTTACTCGCCAAGCTCGCGTTTCATCGACGCTTGAGGCGAGCCGTAAATGTGATACTTTGTAAACGTGATTTTTAGTGCATGTAAATTCTAGTTAGCAGACTAAACAATATATTAAGCATATGGTAGTAAAAATTCACAGATAATAAGCATGTAGATGTAAAACTAACAGGTTAAACGTGATATACGGAAATAAATTGGTATTAAATTTAAACAGAAATTAATTATTAAATTATTAACTTTTGTTATGAATTTTGCTGATTATGATACTTCTCATTTTAACCTATGCCATTTGACATAAAATCAACTGCTACTTACTAAACGCTAGCCTGACCAAATATGTGACATTATGAGACATAAAAAAAAAAGTTACATAAAGTTAGTAAAATGTAAATGTCACTTCTTTCAAATATGCCCAACTATTATAAGTGTTAAAATATTTAATGCTACTTGATCAATTACTTAAAGTTTATTTCATTTTCAAACTTATTAATAATTATGTTAATTCATGTTTAGTAATAATACATACTACTTATGGATCTATTTTATTTTTAGGATGGTATTACAAATGTGAAATGTGAATGCAGCCAGGAATCGCTTATTTTTAATTGAATTTATTCAGTTCGCGTTTACTCATAGGTCCTGAATTTTTTTTTCATTAATGGTCCTTAATTTCTGTGTGCAGAAATGTGTATGAACTCTGATTAACAGTTTTCAGTATTTTTTTTTTTTTTTTTTTTTTTTTTTTTAAAGTTACTTGCATGCAGGGTTAAAGCAATTTACATACGAGTTACTGATTAACATTTTTGGAATAAATTATTTTATTGCAAAGAATATTTAGATGATATTTTTTGTAACTATCATGGCAAGAGTAAAATAACAGTAGCAAAAGAAAAATAATATTCCAGGAAATAATTTGGAGTTGTTTATGTTTGAATATTCAGCACAAGATCTTTGCAAATAAATTTTAAAAATACAGGTGTCCAAAAACAGATGTCAGCCACTGATTATAAAATAGTGAGTAAAAGCTGAATATAAAATAGTGAGTTTATTTATTTTCCAAATTCTCTAAGTTTTAACTGAAAATATTAGATGTATAATAATAATAATAAATTGATTACTGTCCTGTTTCTTCAAACATGTCCTCATGAATCTATATTTTTTAACGCATATATTCTACTGTAGGAGAATATAAATCTGTTCTGTGACCTATTCAAAAATGTGAAAATGGTTGAGGGTTAAATGTGATTATATATAGGTATACCTTTTTTTAATTATTATAGCTTTGAATAAAATAATTTTATTTCCTTGAGATTAGAGGTATTAAATCATCCCAGAAGTAATACAGAAATCTTTAAAATTTTGTAATAAGGTTTCATTATGCCATAATAGTTCAAATATTCAGCTAAAAATATCAATATTTATTTCTAAACCAATGGAAACCAACTGAAAACTGCTATTGAATTCTACTTGCATTTGATATTCATATGTAAATCGTTTGTTTAAGGTGTGGTTCTATAAAATATAAATTTAAAAGTTATTATTTTCTGAATAAGTAAAGTAAGTTTCTGGAAATAATAAGATGTTCTGTACATTAATGAACAATTTTTATTATATTTCAAATTGTATATACATTTTTGCTTTTGAAGTGCACCATAAAGTGATTTTATGAATAATAGTTATTAAATTTTATTCAGCTTTGATATTTAGAATTGTTAGCTAGAATTATTATTAAAATGAAGGAATGTTGGTACTTTTCTGTTTTGCCGGCGCAAATCTCACCAAGCAGACTTTATTGGCAACAATATGCTGTATACAAGTATACACATTAAAAATGTTAACAAATGTTAGTTTTAAGAATTTTTTATTTTGAGGGCATACACATTTGGAACTACTCTGATATGCGCCCTCAAGTCGCCAAATTTCTCGCCAAATATTTTTGGCGAGAAACTTCACGCTGCTATATTACTATCAAAATTTTTTGTCTACATTTTGAACTTTTAGCCTAAAATGTCTCCAAAAACGCGGTTTTCGCACATGCAAAAACTGCATTTTGAACATACAATTTAGCTACAAAATCCGAAACAAAAACAAAAAATTTAGATAGCAAAAACGTAAAGTTTCTAACCAAAAATATTTGACAAGAATCCATGTACACAGCAACATGTTTTAACTTAAAAAAAAATCTACGAATTGCACAATGTAGGCAACGAACGAATCTACAAAATACGCACACCTCGCTTTAATAAATTAACATAACAACAATAAATTTCAAAGAATACCATGTACACAGCATCCCTGTTTAAACTTTAAAAAAATTCTACGAATTGCACAATTTAGGCAAGGAAGGAATCTACGATCTACACTCCTTGCTTTAATAATATAACATAACAACAATAAATTTCAAATAATACCATGTACACAGCGTTCTGTTTCAACTTCTATGTCGGATGCATATTTAATATTTGCATTTCTACATCTATGTTGGATGCATATTTAATATTTGCATTTCTTTTTTTCTTTGTATATTTTATTTCCTCACTGCTTAATTTTATGTTATGATTTTTGCAATAATCTTGTGACTGGCAACGTGCTTTATTTACTATTAAGTTTGTGTGAGTGGCAACAGTTGTTCATGTTTATGTTTCAGTAGAATAGCGTTCTTAGCCGCACTGCGCTGCAGGCAATTTTTCTCTTAAAGAATTTTATGTTTTAGAATAGCAATAAAGTTTATTATACAAAGCTGATGCTTTTTAGTTCAAGGCAACTAATCTACGAATTGTACAGTCTAGACACTGAACAACAAAATAAACTAAAATAAATTTCAAACAATTTAAAAAAACAACAATAACGGCAGAAATTCATACTAAAGAACCAATGAACATAACATTCTACAAAATAAGAACAAGGATAAAATAAAATGCACTTACCATGAATTAATGCGTTTTCGAATAGCAGAAATATAAATTTCATACCGCCTTTAACATGCCGCCACGTAATCACTATCGTATATACACGACAGCCAGACACACTATCCAGAAAATTTATACTATGATTCACAAATAAATAAAATTACAAATCCCTACTTCTATCATGCACTGCCATTAAAAATAATCTCCCAGACCCTCTTTCCACACTTCCAAATACCCACTACCCCTCAACAGGATAGCCACAATCATATTTCCTTTTGCCGAACTTCAATTCAACAACTACCATTTTATCTTTCCCTCCCATCTTCTCAGACACAGAGGCGAACCAACAAGCTCCAGCGAAAGATTTTTCAACGTCAACAAGGTTCCCATAGAACACGCAATCGCGCCAAAAACCAGCGCAGAACACATATCGCCACATTTGGTGAAATTAGGGCGTATATTAGAGTTGTACCACACATTTTAATATTGTTTAAAATTTTTTAAAAAGCCAATAAATTTGTAAAAAGACATTAATTTGAGAATTTACTATGCTTTTATGTTTCAACATCCTGATTCGCCGGTTCATATTACGTAACCCCAAGTGATCTCATCTCGCGTAAACTACTCTACAAAAATTTAAATCTCTCAGTAATTATCTACATTAATTTCAAGTTAGATCTTAATTTGGAATACAAGTTTAAATGCAAGAATTATTTCAATACATACGAATAGTTTAGTCAGAAATTAAAATAGCAGTGCTGTACTTCGCTAGTGCATTCTCATTAGAATTGATGAATTTTAACTCTTGACTTTGCCTTCAGGTAAGTGGTGTGATTGCATACTAGTTGACTTAATTACCATGAATGGCCTTAGGGCATAAAACTGAAATATCTGGTAAAAATTCTATGTAATTGTATGCCAGTATTGAAAGAAATAATCAATCTGATAAGAAATTGTTTTGAAGATGAGGCGTAAAAGGTTACCAGCGAGAATATTGCACTTGGCATCAGTTGTATCATTATTGGCGACTTTATCGCATGCGCCGGCAAAACAGAAAATTACCGGAATGTTTTACTTTTATGTAATAAAAATATAAATTAATATTTATCTTAATGAAATTTTAGTTATTTCATTAAACTCAATGGATCCTGGTGATCCAGTGGAAGAAATAGGATGCTGGAAAAAAGAGAGGGTTCTTGGAGCTGGTGGCTTTGGTTATGTAGTACTTTGGCGTAATAAGGTAAATAATACTCTTCTGTTATCTGCACCTCCAATTTCAAAATTCAGAACTGCTATGTTTGGGCCATATAATACATTTTAATATACAGTGACCACTACTAAGGCCCGATTAAGACTTTAAAAGCCCCTTTAAACACTTAAAAGATTTTGGCAGCTCCACATATGTTTATGCCAGATTTTTCTTCATTCCTTCTCTTTCTTAGTTTTGGTTAAACTGCACTCTGCATTCCATAGTAAAACTGGCAGTTGAAACTTTTTTAGTGCCAATTGGCTTGCCTTGACATAAGAAATACATTCATACAAAACTTTTCTACAAAGCGATTTACCATTTAATGGCCAAAGCACTATTAACATGATACAGTCAAAAGTCGTTAATCCGGACTCGTCGGGGCTTAAGTTGCTTCGTTTCATGTGATAATACTTTCTCTTTAATTCTATTAAACAGACATAATTTCTTGTGTAGTTACAAAGTTCCGCTGTTCAAGTCCTATAATTGCTGTGTCGAGAATACCGACTAATTTGTCAATCGAAATTTTTTCATTTTCAATAACCTCTGGGTCACTTTCTTCACTATTGGAAGCGAATTATAATGACGAGGAACTTTATTTAAATCATATCAAAGACGAAGTACATCGAGATGAAATACTACATTTAGTAATTAATTATAAGCCAAATAAAATAAAAACATCTGCCCTGAAGATAAGGATAGTGCTGACAGATCAACTTCCAATTCATTGTGTGCCACAGCGTCCCCCCCCACTTGCAGCAATTCCACTTTTTGTTTGATGGATATCGAAACATACTTTCACTTTGTAGATCCTTTGGGAGCTCCAGCATTGGAAATTCTATTTGACATAATCAGAAGTTCAAGCTTACTTTTATAAAATTGCTCTAACAGTCTGCAAAAAATAATAAGCCGGATCGAATTCGAAGATTAAGGAACAACACAATCTGCAACATTAACTGAATTAGCTAATTTTAGCTTAGCTTATACCGTCCGTTATACATTAAACGCACATGCGTAAACGTATTATGTGCATGTGCATACACATATTCGCAGCCGTAAAGGTCTTGCGCGCACGTGTAAACGCCTATGCGAATGCACAGAAAGTTTCTAGCTTTGAGGTCCGGATTGTAGATCATTCCGAATTATGGATGTCCGAATTAACAACTTTTGTCTATATAACAATAACTGAGCACCTACATGTAAAAATTTTTCATAAAAAATACAGTACAAAGTCTGTAATTCGAACGTCCATTATCCGAAATGATCTATAATCCGAACCTCAAAGCCACAAACTGTTTTTTTTTTTTTTTTTGTTTTGTATGCTCTACGCATGCACATAATGTGTTTATGCATGCATGTTTAATGTTTATGCATGCGCGTTTAGCACAAAAAAAACGAAACAACTTACAAAGAAATGTTTAATAAAGTAAACAAATAAATATTAAAGCTTTTTTTTTCTGTGTGTGTGTAAATTTTGATACCCTTTAGATCATAATTGCTCTTTATTTCATAAATTATGGTTTCATATTTTTAACTGTATAAATTCTGCATGCCATGTTACCAGATTTAAATTGATGATCTATAATCCAGAAAAGCCCTTAATCCGGAATCGCTGAAGTCCCGACGAGTCCGGAATACGGACTTTTACTGTATTATAAAGTATTGTTAAAGCATGTTTCTCATAGCTGGTAAAATAGGTGGATGCTTCTGACAGAATTTTAAATTAGCACTTTATGACCTACCACCAACTCTCAATACACTATCCTTGTAAGTATAAATTGAGAATGGGAGAATTTGCAGATAACAGTTTCTGTGCCTTAATACATTTAGATTCAGGTTAACACAACATAATATGCTGTATTCGAACTCTTCATAATTAGAAGTTCGGAATTTCTTCTAGACAATCGCAATCTGACATTGTTAATAAATTTCAGATACCACGTGATCACTTTTTGCAGTTTTACATAAGATGATATCTTTGAAATCACACATAACTCTTCTATGAAGTATGTATATGTTCTTTTTCCATTGCTTTCTCACAGTTTTAAATTTTCTGGGAAACTGGAATTTTTCTTGACTTTAATCAATCTAAAGCAGTTCATCAAAGTTTATGAACTACCAAATCAACTAGACGAAGTCCCTATAAAATGCAATCTGCCAGATATTCCTATTCTTGAATGCAATTAAAATTTTTGGCTGGAACAGCAGACTGAATTTCTGTGACAAACATTTGCCATTTGTTAGGTTCAGACATTAGCCAAGATAACACAATACTTAAATAACTCCACGCATGTATGAAATGAATTTTCATTTGTAATGCACTTCTGACTGCTTGTTAAAGTGTGTTTACAAAACAGCAGCACACAATTCTAATTGTAGCAAATCGAGTTTGTGCTATCAGCAGTTTTACATAAATACACTATTGTGCAAAACTTAGGCAACTTTTCTAATTTTGGTCATAATTCTGCAAAAAATCAACTGAGAGACATCAGATAGAGGCAGAGGCTCAATGTAGTACTGAAAGGATGAGAAAATTGTAGTGGCAAAAAAATTAATAGGATACATATGGTATAGAGTGAATTGAAGAAAGCTTTATTGACAAAATGGCATTGGTACAGAAAACTGTCTGACCAAGAGTGAGAATAACAAACCACAGAGCCTTAGTAGGCAATATGATGCCCACTAACTGCAATGGTTGCCTTGTCCCATTTGTTGATATTCGGTACTGGATTGTCTAACAGTTCTTGAGGTAAGCATTCTTATTCTTCAAGGAGCATTTCTTTCAGTTGTCTAGTACAGTCAAAAGTCGTTAATCCGGACTCGTCGGGACTTCGGCGATTCCGGATTATCGATTTTTCCGGATTATAGATCATCAGTTTAAATCTCGTAGATGATGCATGCAGAAATTCTAAAATTAAAAATATGAAAAACCGTAATTTATGAAATAAAGAACAATTATGATCTAAAGGGTATCAAAATTTTCAAAAAGAAAAAGCTTAATATTTATTTCTTTACTTTATTAAACATTTCTTTCAATGTAAGTTTGTAAGTTGTTTAAGTTTGCTTCGTTTCGTTCATGTGATAATACTTTCTCTTTAATTCTATTAAACAGACATAATTTCTTGTTCAGTTACAAAGTTCCGCTGTTCAAGTCCTATAACTGCTGTGTCGAGAACACCGACTAATTTGTCAATCGAAATTTTTTCGTTTTCAATAACCTCTGTCACTTTCTTCGCTATCGGAAGCGAATTATAACGACGAGGAACTTGTTTTAAATCATATCAAAGACGGAGCATATCGAGATGAAGTACTACATTTGGTAAAAAAATTATAAGCCAAATAAAATAAAAACATCTGCGCTGAAGATAAGGATAGATAGTGTTGACAGATCAACTTCCAATTCATTACGTCGCGGCGTTTCCCCCCGCCGAGCAGCGTGAAATTGATAAACAGATTTCGGATTTCAAAAACATACTTTCGCTTTAGATCCTTTACATATTAACAATATATATCGGAAATTCTATTTGATATAATCGAAAGTTTAGCTTAGCTTACTTTATAAAATTGCTCTTACAGTCTGCAAAAAATAATAAGCCGGATTCAATTCGAAAATTAAGGAACAACGCAATCATCAACATTAACTGAAATAGATAATTAGATAATTTTAGCTTATACGTCCATTATACATAAAACGCGCACGCGAAAACGTATTCTGCACTTGCGCACACTCATATGCGCAGTCGTAAAAGGTCTTACGCGCAGACGCCTATGCGCATGTGTCAACGCGGCGCATGCGCAGAAAGTTTTTAGTTTTGAGGTCCGGATTATAGATCATTCCGAATTATGGGTGTCCGAATTAACGACTTTTGACTGTATTCTCCAAATGTCAAGCTGATGGCTCCAGATGTTCACTAAAGTATCCCACACATGTTCAATGGAGTTTAAATTAGGGGATTGCTGGCCAATCCCTGTGTATAACTTCACTTTCCAGGCATCTCAACATCATTCCATACAGGATTCATGATTCAAAGCTGAATCCTGTGTGGCCTTTGTTATCAACCATAAAAACAAAGTTGGGAACAATAGCACCCAGAAAAAACACATTTGGGAGAGGGCATGTCATCAGTGAGTCTCTGTCAAAAATGTGGAGCTCCATCCAACCATTCATCATAATGCCTTCCCATACAAGCATGCCAGAGAACCACCCCAAAAGGTCTCTCTCTGATATTAGTAGGATGAAAGCATATCCCTACCTCTCTCCATATTAACTGATGCCAAGAATTGCCACACTGATGCTACACTGAAATGACTCTCATCCATAAGGAGAACGTCACTCCATTGATGAGGTCTTTGTGTTTTCTATACCACTATAAACTGTGCCGATGATGGATTGCTGTCAGTAGTGAGTAGCGATCAGGATAGCGGGCGAAAAGGCCATTTTTATGAAGTCTTCTGGGAACAGTAAACTAGGATACTTCTCATCCATGTGCAACTACTGAACATGTTGCTCCCTGTCTGGTTTCGATTTCTTTTTGCCTGCACAGCAATATATTGGGCATCAGTCACTGTCATTTCCCTTGGCCAACCACCACCAACCTTTCTTACAGCTGTACTTGTCGTTTGGAAAGCTTTCCAAGCTCGTGGAATAACACTTTTATTAATTCCAGACTCTAGGCAACATATCAAACTGTGCCTTCTCTCCAAGCTTGCCAATCATACTACCATGTACTAAAATGTCCTGTTGTTTTCTTATAGCCATACTGCACGTACAGTCTCACTTTCACTTGCAGAAGAATGCCTGAAAATGCCCCTTCCTTTCATCTTTTTAAGTTGCCTTGCACTGTTGCACACTGACTTCTCTTGTGGTCTGATGTTCTCTCTGACATTGTGATGCTGATATTTGCATATGCATCATCTTTCTACTGGGTTGGCTTTTCATAGTACTCATCACAAAAAGCCCTTGTTGATAATTTCATTGGTTGTGTAATGAAAAA